TAGGAACAGTCTCGATATGCATTACCCACGGTCTCATCTGTCACTGTACCAAAAAGGCTTACATTATACAGGGATTAAGGGTTTTAACAGACTGCCTGCTCCTATAAAACTATTGTCAAATGATATAAAACAATTTAAAAGCGCTAGAGAAAATTTTGTAAAAATGATAGGTTTCAAGGTCATCTGTTATTTTGTCCAACTTGGAAGAATCGCCCTCTTCTGACCACCCAAATGCGTGGCTTTTGACACATTCAGTTATCCTCCATATCTAAAGACACTTTCCTTCATTTGCAACCAGAGGACATGTCACAACAAGGTGACAATGGACCAATTTACTCAGGGGCTTATGAAGAGGACCTGCTGAGTAATTAAGTTGCAGGTCCCCCCTGCCAGCCACCACTGTCATCTTCATTCTTACTCTCACCAAAGGGGAAAACAGAAATCCTATTCACCGGATGCATCCACCAAAAATTCACCTCCAACAAATGAGCACAGGGCATGAAGGAAGTGTGAGACACAATCACAGAACAGAAGCAAGTCATGAACAGGAATGTGTTCTCAAATGGACAGAACCTCTTGTCATTCTAAACTAGAAAACAAATAAAGAAACAAGAAGTTCTTGCAAGGAATAATCGCCTATTTCCTTTTGATACAACACAACTGCATGGGAAACAATGTCTCTAACAATTCTTCATAGCTGTGGGTACTAAGACATTGCCTAGCAACGGTAGGGGGATACAAAGACCACAGACCACAGAGATAAAGATGCCTCTAACAATTCTATTGTTGGGTGTGTTCACTGCCATGTGAATGTGTCTGCCGAGCCATTGCCTAGCAAATATTCAATGGGATACACATACAGATTTATGAACTAAGCCACTGAGATGGACTCAGGTGTCATGATATACATACCAAGTTTCATAAAGACTGGTTCAGGCATTCAGAAGCTGACAGGGCGGGATACAAAGACACAGGGACAGCAAGGTGATAACATAGGCATACTTTTATTTTTTCAAAATAAGGGAAATAGGCTAATGAGAAGACAAGAAATATGCTAGGAAAACACTATGGAAAGTAATCACATGGGAGACATACCCTTAGACGGAGAATAATATTGAAATTTGTTCCAAAGGAAATAAGACATGATGTATAATTACTAACTGAAGATCACCATGAACATGGTATGCATCACCAACAGTTCAAAGGAATGACAAGTGAATGTGTGAACCTGCAAAGCACCATTAACCACAAGAGAGCAATCTTCAAAGCCAGAATTTTGTGTGACTGTGGATCTGAATCTCTGCGTTCCACAGGGCAAAATATTCAGTAACTGCCTGAATAACCACTAATCTGTATAATGGGTGTACATACAGCGGGCGTCTTCTCAGTAGAAGAGGGAGTCATGGCCACTTCAACTGTTTCTTGCCTTGGTGAGCCCCGTCTTGACGTTGGCAGGGAGCTCTGCTGGGCCCTTTGTCCACTCTCAGGCTCAACCACGATGGGAGAGAACTTCCTCTCCTCCAACACAGCATCTCCATGGCCATTCAGTTCTGGTAATCTTCTGAGAGATTTCTGCTGCTGCTGAAAGTAACGTGTATGATAATACACTGTTCAGGTCGCCAAAATATATCACTAGTAAAACAAGCTCGTGAATCAGAAGGTTAAGAAACTTAAAGTGGTATCATCTGGGAACAAGGAGCTGAGAAGAATATGTGGACTTAAGAGATACTGTCTCTGGGCCCAACACATCTCCATTTAGTGCCATGATTAAGAACACACAAAGCTATACATCCACCCTCAAGTGTCTTCACATAGGGGGCTTAACTAAGTACAGGGAAAACTTTATTTTTCTGATAGAGAGAAGCACACCAGGAACAGGCTCTTGTGAACATGGTAATAAACCTTTGAGTACAAAAAACTGCTGGTAATTTCTTACCAAGCTAGGCGGCTGTTAGCTTCTCAAGAAGGTCCCCATTCAAAGATGTTAATTAAAAGTTCTATACAGGTTTGTGACATGATGCTAATATGTTGTGAAGCTGTCTTGGAAGTTTCATGCATTGCTGGCAGCAATGATTACCATCTCATTGTGAATGTTATAGTGGATACAAATGAAGAAGTGTGTAGGAACAGACCCATATTCAGCACTTTAACCACAGCACTACTGCATACAGCTTAGTTGCTGTTTTAAAGTGATTTGGATTTACAGGTTTTGTACTTGCCAATTCATAGTGTATGCCATATCAAACCACATCCTAAAATGCAAAGGTTTAATTCAAAGATGGAATGCTTGTAATATAAGAAAATAAGTTAACAAAATGATGTAACTAACCTCTTCTAAAATACTGCTGACTGGTTGTTTGGAACTATTCAGAAACTTGATCAGTTCATCATCACTGCTTGTTTTGGGCTGCCTAACTGGACTGCGACCCACAAGGCTTGGAGATGACCTGATGGAACGAAGATTGTTGCCATTGGTGGTTGTCGCTGTTGGTGGAGGGGTGAGCCTCACAGGTCTACTTGTAACTTTCCTAGAAATAAAGTACTAACCACTTACTTACTCATGGAACTGAGCCCTTATTGAGGAGTGGCCAATTCTGCAGCTACTCAAGAATTTCCCAGCATTTTATGGAACCCCAAGGTTCATCACCGTGTTCACAAGAGCCCTCCACTGGTCCCTATCCTGAGCCAGATTTATCCAATCCATCCCATCCAATCCTATCTCTCTAAGATATTCCAAGTTCCAAATCTCATATCCATTTTCATTAGCTTAGGTCGTTTATCCAAGGAATCAGTCCAGGTCTGAGGCTTTGTGTTCATTTTCGTAATATACTGATTTTTTTTACGGTGAGGAGTTGTTAGCCCAACCCCCAAGCTGGAGGGCCACTCCTTGTCGGCTGTCCGCGAGTGCTTATTCAATATATTCGCAGCTTCCCTCCAAAACTGGAGGGCGTCTCCTCCATCCGCAACCTGAGGACGCGCCATGCCGTGGTGACAGGGACCCACATAACATGTACTAACCACTAATGTTGCTTTTGTAGTAACTTACATTTCTACTTATTACTTAATTTGTATATCCTTACTCTTTAGACTGTTGTCCATCCCAAGTAACTTCTGTCAACAAGGTCTCGCTTGTATTTTCTTTTCTTTCCTTATGCAGTGCAACAGCAGCATTTTGATCAATCTGGTTTAGAAAATCTTCCGCTTTCCCAGCCAAATCTTTCAACCACGCCATCGTGTAAACCTATTTAAATATGTACAACTTTTGTACGCATGAAACAAACTACCCAGTTATTAAAAATGTCCCTCTTGTAACATACTTAATCTACGCTAATAAGATCACATTCGTTGCTAATGTAACACGACGTAACACGTAAGCTAGACACATTTATTTCATGGATTTCATCGTATCTTTAGAAAAATGCTCCCACGAAACAAAATAAAAAAATACTCGCGTCAGAAATGACAGATATACAGAATTTATCACGAAAATTCAAGAGACACAACGATTAACATCTGCTCTACAAAGTTCTACGAAATACTTGCTAACGACGACACTAACGACCACTAACGACGTCTCTCTACAGCTATCGTCCGTCTGACTGCGCCATCTGTTTTAAATTCTCAAGGTTGTAGTATCGTCCATCTCCATTTTACCGAGAGATGGCATTAGCATTCACAGTGCTGATGTCCACTAGTTCGGTATTCTCTGTGTTGGCCAAAATCTGCAGCCGGCAAATTTAGATTTTTAACATGAAGTATGACGAAGCCCGAAATTCCTCCCACAGACTATATATGACGTGGGTATTGGAAAGACAATTGAAAAACTTTAAGCACAAGCCAGGGGAAAGGTCCCCACAGACACTAGAGAACTAGAGAAGCATATTAAAAACGACAATAAATACGAATTGTCGAAGTGTACGAGTAAATACATTCAAATTGCCCGCTAGGTATCATTACTTGGCAAGTCGTGATTGTGGCTCCGCCCCTCTCTACGAACGTCACGCGGAGATCGTCAGGTCAGAGCCTGGCAACAGGTGTTGAAGCAAATGAAAAAGCGTTGCAGCGGCGGTAGCAGGCTATGTGGAGGAAGCGGCGGTTGTTTCGCGTCGCGATGCTGAGCACTTTTGCTGTCGTCGTAATATATTATACGACGTCGCAGTTACGCACTATACAAAAATGGCGCAACAGACGAAAGGTAAGTTTCACATAATTATATGTATAGACGGAAGTAAAATAAAAATAAAAAGTAGACGCTCTCTAAAGCATTGTTGAAATTTCTTTCATTCTGTCGTTAAGTCCCCGATTGTTAGGCATGTTCAGTGGTTCATAAGCCAATCTCGCCAACAAAGGAAAATCCTAATTCCTGTGAGTTGTGTTTGGTGCGGGTGGTTCTTACGATCACGGAAATGTGATAAGAGTGAACCATTTTAATATATTGTTATCTTCGACGTATCCAGTTTCAATTGTATATTGCTCCACGGTAAAATACACGAAATAAAGTAGTATTACACGATAACGGACGCGTTCTGGATGCAGGAAGTACTCGTTCGGCGAGAACTCGGAATGTTTTCCTTTAAAATCAGTGAATTGTTTTGCGGTCTTGTTAGTCAGTTGGTTTTATAATACTGAATACAACTGAAAATTTATCAATAAATGTTTCTGTAACCATGGTGCCAAAGATCTACTTGATAGTAAGATATATTCACTCCACACGGAAATGAATGGGAAGAAATCCAACAAGTGGTGTATACAGACAGCTAGCGCTGTGTAAGTGGTATTAACCAAAATTAAGTATAACTAGTCCAAGCCAATGAAATATCACTTACAGTTCCTTAATCTGCAATTTAAACATTAAAATATGTAATTGGACGCAACATCGGCTGTGCTTGAACACTGTTTAAGTAAACTGTTGACAAATGTTATCGTCCTAAACACTGCAATATGTAATTGGACGCAACACCGGCTGTGCTTGAACACTGTTTAAGTAAAATGTTGACAAATGTTATCGTCCTAAACATGAACTTCGTGTGGCGGTGTGCAGAGAAACGCCTTGAAATGAGAGCCCTCAAGCTACAATAGAACTTATGTGCATATGTGATCTCGTGAGTAACGTTTAAAGACATTAACCAGGTTTCAGAACTTATTCACGACAGACGCACGATAAACAAAACATTTTTCTTAAGAAATGTTATATTTATATATATGTATATTTATAAAATAAATGGACGCTGGAAGGGGAAAATCAAATATCTGCCCTCCCCCGGAAAAGATAAGTTAAACTTGTCCCTGTGTTTAATCAGCTGGGCACTACGCCATGAAAACATGTGGAGGAGTGAATGTAGCTCTATTTTTCTTGTTCTCGGCACTAGGAGGAGGTGAGTGGTCAACTACTCGCCCCTGCCACTTTGCCTCCTTTACCATTTGGATGGTGAACCCCTGGGAAAAAGTCAGAATTTAAGAAATAATGAAATACACTAGACATTAACGCACAAAATTCAAATTATTTTTAAATGTAACACCATCTATGTTTCAATAGACATAAACAGTTCTAAGGCCACCAGTAAACCCAGTCTTAAACAGCGTAAACGCAAGTTTGTGACCAAGCCTCCCACCCCGAAAAAAATCATGGCAGAACCCACGATTACAAACACTTTTCGCCCGGTGAATGTTTACATAAGGACTCGTTCTGAAAGCAGAGGAGCTTGACGCCCTCTGTGGGCCGCACCGACCGTCTTCCAGCTTGAAACGCGGAGTGAACTAAGCAGACCTGTCGAAATCTGTTCCGCGCTCTCACTGGCCGCTGAAATACGAAAGTGCACAGTCACTTGACACTATTATATAAGAGCCAAATGGCCCAGGGGCTTCTGCCTCACGGCTGTGATGTCGCACTTAACACTGACGGCTATTGAATAATGTTATTTGATATCACGGACTCATGTTTTATGGAAATTAATCAAATATCCTTCTCTCTCCCCCATTTACACATGTATGTAAAGTGACGGTCAGATGAAAACTCTGAAATAACGCAGTTCGGATTACCACAGCAACGGATCTTCAAGCGCTAACATGCTGCGTGGATGGTCCCGAACGAAAGATAAGTCCTTTTGTTTCTGAGTATCGTATCTCTTCTGTGAATGTTAATAATATATTGGCGTGGATATGTGAAATATTAGTATACTATATGGATTTACGATTGACTATTTGTGCGTATTATTCGTGGCAGGTAGCGTTAAATGATGGCCTCGACGCATCATCCGACAACATTTAGGGCTGAAAGCAGGGGAAGTTAACAGTACTCAAAGATTCGTGTCGATGCCCGTCGGCCGCAGAGGGGCCCGTAGGTGGCGCAGAATGCAGTAGGTGGTCATTGTGTCTAATGGACCGTTGCCATGTCACTGTCGTTACGTATAATGCAAATAGGCATTTTTAAATTAACTTCGGGTTTAAAAAGGTCCCAGGAAAATCAGACCAAGTCAGTTAATTAGTACGTTATCTTCGGATATGCTTCTCATGTCGTGGGCCTCTCCAACTAAATTCAGCCGACCGATGCCGTGCTAGCTTTGTTCCGATGGCCGACACCAGACCATGGATCCTGACTTGATGACTTTGTGCATGTGGCCAGATTACTTTTCACCTGTCATGGCTGGCTGGGGGACGGGTTCTCAGTGCTATTGATGGTGAACGTTCAGGTGGCAGTAACAGGAAATTTGCTCAAATAACTCCTCTGTGTGGGCGCTTCCTTGTAAAGTTTAAGTTACTGGGATCGCTAGAATTCGCTGTCTACAGAACTAGAACGTTCTTCAGTGTTGGACTCCACCTCATGCCAGTTAAATCCTCATGCCGCTATTCTAAAATACACTTCAATATTATCATGGTGAGGTCTCCTGGTTGATCTCTTCCCTTGGAAGTTTCCGACCAAACCTGTGTAGGTTTGTGACATCCTGGCTCTCTCATCTACCCTGAAGATGGATGAAGTATTTTTCTTCGAAACATCGATATCTGCGTACCTACAACGCAGAAGACCACTCAGTGTGTAGTACGGTCCATACCGTACCGCATGCGCCCTGCGTTATCACCTGTTTGTTCTGCTTATCAGCAACATTCCGAATTTCCAGCAAATAAGCTGAAATCCGCTGTAAGCAAACAAGGTGTACAGGCGGACCGAGTCATGTTCCCGATTGTGAGATAAAAAAGTGAAGTCCTTGTGCTTAAGCAGCGAGCCATGAATATGCACGGGGAGCGGAGATATTCTTAACTTCTGAGCTTAACGCGCCGGCCGCTTTATCCCTGGTAAAGAGTCCCGCGGTAACGGTTGGCGTCTCTGTCTCCAGGTGACAACAGACTGAAGTGCCGAGAAGGTCTGGGAAGAATTTAACTTTCTGTTAAGTGCTTCGGTTCACCTGACGTCACATAAGACGGACATCTGGGCTGTTCAGTTCGGATAAACATTTAGAGTATGCAGACACACGCATCTTGATGCCAGCGCGGAACAGCTCTGTCTCACGGCGGCTACTGCACTGCAGACGATGCAGACGAACGCCATTTCACAGCCACGTGAGGACACAAGGTAAATGAAACGGTGGTGGGTGCAGGACAGAGCTGGAGTCCATATTTGGCCTCGTCCGATTTATTTCGTGCTGCTGCGGTGGTTACAATGGCTTCATTTGAATTTAAAATGTTCCCACAGAGCGGCCGTTCTGGTATTGTCCAGAGATGGCAGCACCGAACTGCGAACTTCGGCCGTGCATTGCTCCGACAGCACTACCCAGCGGCACTGCAGTTTGCATGGGCCTGCTACCCTCTGCAGACACACGCGTTTCGTCGGCCTGTACAAGGAACCCTACCAAATGCGTACCATAACGAGAGATAAAAGGCGGCATGACGCAGAGAAAGACAAAACGGAAGAGGAAAATCAAGAAAAGGAGGGAACGAGAATGAGCACGAGGAATGTGCAGATGTCTCTGCTGTACCATTGTATCGACACTTCCTTACAGCTGTGCCGATGTGTACGGCGGCAGGTTTTCTTGTTCTTTAACTCATAAGGCTGCAGCAGGGAGAGCTCAGCAGGCTCAGCGACGGGCTACGAGCTGGAAGGTCCGGGTTCGATTCCATGTAGCATCAAGATTCTTCTCTTCTCCACAGTGTTCAGACGGACTTGGGGCCCACCCAGCCTCTTATCCAATATGTATGGCTCTTTACCAGGGATAAAGCGGCCGGCGCGTTAAGCTGACCACCGACCTGCATCTATTGCTATTTACCATTAACAGCTCCCCCACCACAAGAAGAAAAAAAAAAAACAGTTCCGCAACTGCAGGCTCAGCTTTGTACAAGATGTCGACATGCAGACGAAGGAAAATACATTAGTCCCGTGTCCTCCAGATCTGTGTGCTATGCGCTCGACCAATCCGCCTGTCAGTTCGGCTTCCCTGCAAGCAAACTGAGTAGCGATACAGCACACACTGCTGCTTTACATTCGCGTGGTCACAAACGAGGCTCTAACGACCGGGCCACAGCTGCACGCAGTATTAATCTAGTCTGTAGGTGAGCGGTCAGCTTAACTCTCCGGCCTACTTACCCCCTGGAAAAGAGCCCTCGGTATCCACTGGACAGCAGGTTGGTCGGGTCTCACAGCGAGTATAACTATACTGACTAAGCTATCCCGGCAGTATAAACCCTTGTGTCTCACAGAGAAAAAACATCGTCCAGAAAGAGTTAAGGTACTTTTTTTTGTCTGTGGAATCGAATTGATCGCCGTATCGACTGTCGCTTATAAACGGAGCAATCGATAGTAATCGACAAATTCGGCGATTTAAAACTCACTGCAGGATAACTTCATTTAAGCGCTGAAGTTCTGACCCACACTCCAATTTCCTGCTTTCAAGGACGGAAACATGGCGGCAGCGCGAACTGTCGATTCCTGGCTTTCCGAACAGCCGGCCGGTCACCACCGGTGCTGGAGCCGCGTCTGTACGCCCACTGACCTCATTAACTGGGGACGGAAGTGCGCCCCCCCCCCGCTTTCTTGTTACCACTGGATCTCTTCAGTCATTCAGCTGTCCCCGGCAATTCGAATTCGGGCCCACAAAGCTGTACACATTCATTTAATGACGCTATGCAGTGAACAGTGAATAGGAACGGATCTGGAAAGAAGCGGTCGCAGTGCACCTGACGTTTCTGCCCCTCAGATTGCATGGA